CAACAACAACAACGGAGCTCTGATAGCATAGCGCCTAAGGCATTTGACTGCTAACCAGAAGGCTGGCAGTTCAAACCCACCAGCCACTCCTCAGAAAGAAGGTTGGGCAATCTACTTCCATAGTGATACTGCCTCTGAAACCCAAGGAGGGGTCCCTATGCAGGGGAAAAGCTAATGGCTGATGGGAAGGTCCAAGAAAGAGGAGGAAAGGTAGCTTGGGTCTACTTTAGATTGTGAAAGCCCTTATACACTAAGTAGAGAAACGTTTAATTTTCTCCAGTAGGCAGTGGGAACTATTGAAGGTTCTACTGTACCTTTTAGGCTTAGTTTCACCTCTTAAGCTGCTTTTAAAATACTTTCTCAATAATTAGGAAACACTGCCATCATGTGGCTATTAGTGATGCAGCTCCAAACTTGAGCTGCTGAATCATATGTTTAATAATTGAATCAAAGACCACAACTCTTGATTTAAATAGCTGAAGTAAAGCAATGTTAACCTGTTCAAAGAATACTTTTACTAAAGTTTTTCAAGAAATCAATATCTTGGTTCAATTTCCTTGATTCCTTACATTAAAAAAAAAAATTCTAGTTTAAATCTTGAATGATTCTGATAGCAAGGGTATTTTCTATCCCCAAACCAATCAAACCAAACCAGTTGGCCTGGAGTCGATTCCAACTCATAGTGACCCCTTTGTGTCAGAGTAGATCTATGTTCCATATGCTTGATTTCCCAGAAGGAGATCACCAGTAGATCACTCAGTAGATCTTCTGAGTCACCTCCAGGTGGACTCAAACCTCCAAGGTTTTGGGTAGCAGTCAAGTTCTTAACCATTTCCAGGTCCAGAGCCGCCTTCTCTATCCGCAAAACCCCTTACAATCATAAGTCCTGCAAAAACTCTGCCCATTGCAGGACAGTTTGCTATCAAGCTCTCTCCAGACCATTTCTCTCAACTATGGCAGAGTCAGTGCCAGTTCCAGATGTGTTCTGTGTGGTCCTGCAGTTGAACTGACCCAAATTCAAATATTTCTACCAGTTTTTAGCTGGGTGACTTTGGGCAAGTCACCTAACCTCTCTGGGCCTTACTTACTTCATCCTTAAAACAGGGATGACACCTTCATAGGGTTATTGTGAGGACGAAACGATAACAAATCTAAAAGATGCCATGAAAAAGAAATGTGCCAGGCACATCACACGTCCTTATAATGAGAGTGGTTCTTCCTCTTCCTTCGCTTCTGTTCTTGAGGGCATATTATTGTTGGTCATGGAGCAGGCACTCCATGGAGGTTTGTGTTATGGTATCTGAGATTTACTTGGTTCTCAGCAGCCTTCCCTGGGAATACAAATTCTTGACTCTCCAGCTGTAGGGCGCCACATCTATTTCCACGCCTTGCCTACAACCCCTGGCCCTGCGGGGCACAGCAGTGCACGCGTCCAGGTCTTGCTCACGTGCCCGCAGGTGCGTGGGCGTGGGCGTGGGCATGAGCGGGGCGGGGCGCCGCTCCCTTCCCGGGGGTAGGGTGTGTGTGTGGATAATTCAATCCCCGTGGGACTCAACTTCTCGCCTCACCCGCAGCTCCGCGGATTGGCTAACTGTCTCAGATCGCCTCCGCCCCTCCGTACCCCCCGCGTCCCCAGGTGGCTCAGGCCCCTGTGGTGATCTCTGTTTACCGAGAGATCCCGTTCAAGTTCGGCTCCTTCTCGGCCCTCGATCCCCTCCGGGGCCCCGCCCGCCCGGGAAGCGGGGTGACAACCTGGCAGAACCTTCTTCGCCCTTGCCCTCCCCCCACCGCCCAGAGAGGTCGGGTAAGGGGGAAAGGAGGTGTGGGGCAGGGGGCGTACCAGGCCCGGGGGATCCGGCTGACCCTCGCCTGGCACCTCGCGCACACCCAGCAGCGTCATCACCAGGCCTGGTTCTCGCTCCCCCGCCCCCGCACTGTCGACTCGGGGTGACGTGCCCACCCCGAGCTGGCAAGCAGAGGCTGAGCCTGAGGGATGCCAGGTCCCTAGCGGAGGCACAGACGAGAAGCTCTCGCTCACAGGTGTTTCCCCCACCCCTGCAGACGGCGATGACCCCCAAGCCGGCCGGACCCCCGGACGGAGGCTGGGGCTGGGTGGTTGCAGCCTCAACCTTCGCGGTGAATGGGCTTTCCTTCGGGATGTTACGCTCCCTGGGCCTCGCCCTCCCTGACTTCGCAGAGCACTTCGACCGAAGCGCTCAGGACACAGCGTGGGTCAGCGCGCTGGCCCTGGCCGTGCAGCAGGCAGCCAGTGAGGGGGGCCCCCAGGTGGGAGGCGGGAATGAGGGTGGGGAGGCCGTGGGGGTAGTACTGCGGGACTCGCCTGAAGACGAGACAACCTGACAAAGATCGACCAGCAACAGTAGTGGGTGTTGAAGGTCAAGGGGAGGAGCTACTAGACCGGGGGAGGAGCTTAGGCGAGACAATCAGCCAATGAAAAGGGTCGGGCCGAGTTTGGTGGTCCAGGGGCGTGTCTTCCATTGACTCCGCCTCCTTCTAGGCCCTGTGGGCAGCGCCCTGAGCACCCGCTGGGGGGCGCGCCCGGTGGTAATGGTTGGGGGCGTCCTCACCTTTCTCGGCTTCGTCCTCTCGGCTTTCGCCCGCAGTCTGCTGCACCTCTACCTCGCCCTGGGCCTCCTCGCTGGTGAGGGGTCGGGGGTGGGGGGCTTGCGGGGGGGTATGCCCGGATTCCTAAGAGGTGAAGGTGGGGGAGCGAACAGAGTGGGGGCCCGCTGCGGGGAGGAAGGCTGGGAATGCTGGGGCAGGCACCCCGTACTCTGCTCTCACCCGGTCCCATCCATTTGCAGGCTCTGGCTGGGCCCTGGTGTTCGCCCCTGCCCTGGGTACCCTTTCGCGTTACTTCTCGCGCCGTCGAGTCCTGGCGGTGGGGCTGGCGCTCACTGGCAACGGGGCCACCTCGCTGCTCCTGGCGCCCGCCTTGCAGCTCCTCCTTGACACTTTCGGCTGGCGAGGCGCTCTGCTCCTCCTTGGCGCCATCACTCTCCACCTCACCCCCTGTGGCGCCCTGCTGCGACCCCTGATCCTTCCAGGAGACCCTCCAGCTTCCTCTCACGGGCCCCTTGCGGCCCTCGGCCTGGGTCTCTTCACTCGCCCCGCTTTCTCGGTCTTTGCTCTGGGCACGGCCCTGGTGGGGGCCGGATATTTCGTCCCCTATGTACACTTGGCCCCCCATGCCTTAGACCGGGGTCTGGGAGGCTATGGGGCCGCGTTGGTAGTAGCGGTGGCTGCGGTGGGGGATGCAGGGGCCCGGCTGGTGTGCGGGTGGCTGGCGGACCGCGGCTGGGTGCCCCTCCCGCGGCTGCTGGCAGTGTTTGGAGCTCTGACAGGCCTGGGGCTGCTGGCAGTGGGACTGGTACCGGTGATGGGGATCGAGAGCAGGTGGGGTCCCCTGCTGACCGCAGCTGGGGCCTATGGGCTGAGCGCCGGAAGTTATGCCCCGCTTGTTTTCGGGGTGCTCCCGGGCCTAGTGGGCATCGGAGGTGTTGTGCAAGCCACTGGGCTGGTGATGATGCTGATGAGCCTCGGGGGGCTCCTAGGCCCTCCCCTGTCAGGTAAGGGCCTGAGCCAGCAGATCTACTCCTAACGTTCCTCGCCCCAAGGTCTGAGGGCTCTAAATTCTTTATCCTTCCTCTCAGGATTCTTAAGAGATGAAACGGGAGATTTCACCACTTCCTTCCTCGTGTGCGGCTCCTTCATCCTCTCCGGCAGCTTCATCTACATGGGGCTGCCCCGGGTGCTGCCTTCCTGTGGTCCAGCTTCACATCCAGCCACCCCGCCTGCTGAGATGGGGGAGCTGCTCCCCATTCCTCAGATGGCCCAGCTGTCCCCTAGAGGCCCTCACCCCAAGCTGGACACCACTTGTTGATTTTCTTGTTTGAGCCTTTCTCCCAATAAAGAATTTCTATTCTTTTCTTTTTTTTCCCTGTGAACTCCACTGTTAACCAATCTAGGGGCCTGGAAATATCCTACTTAAGATACCCAAAAGGTCTGGTTGAAAGGAACAGGATTCCACTAGGCCATGAGGGAGGGGAAGGTGTCTGACCATCCGGCCCACTGAATCTTCTTTCCCCAAACCCTAGTCATCATAATAGAGGATCTTTGAGAAGTTGTCTGCTAGTCAGCTTCAGTCTGTTGGAGGAGAGGAGGCGTGCTCATGAATGGTATCTGCCCCATCCTCATTTCCCCTCACCCCAGTATCCAGACCTTCCAAGCTAATTCTCTGCCTACACTTCAATCTCCTTCTACTGGCCCAAAGGGAATACATGAATCCCAGATTCAGCTCTTCTCCCTCCTTCCAAGCTTGTTGTTGTTGTTGTCTGCCGTCGAGTCGGCCCCGACTCATAGCCTTCTGGTGAGCAGTCAAGTGCCTTAGGCACTATGCTACCAGAGCTCCCCCTTCCAAGCTACCCCCCTATTATCCCTTAACTTCTTTCCTAAGTCACAGGAGATAATGGGAGATAGGTGAGTGGGAGGTCCAGAGGGTAGAGTTCAAGGTTCAAATGTCTGGCTACTCAGAGCTTCTGGATACCAGCCCCTCTCCTCTCCAGCCGTGACTCCATTTAGCCAAACCAAGGGGATGGCTCCCAGCTGTCCTTGAGGTTATGGTTATTATCCAGTTTTCTTACCAGGTTTATCCCAAAGGGACATTTCTGTCTTCCAAACATCTCAGTCTTTTGAGAACAAACTTAGAGGCAACGCTAGAGATCATATGTAAAACACGAGAAGCCTCTTGGCCTTTGATTTTCACAGTTGATTCACAACTTGGGGGGGGGCGGCAGGCTGAACTCTGGATCCTTTAGAACATGTTGGTGGAGCCAATTATTTACAAAATACAAAGGGTTGGCACACGTATCACTAGCTTGCTGTGAGGGAGGCAGATCAAGAGGCTTAAGGCACTGTGGTTCCAAGATGGGGCAGAAGACCTGGAACTCTCTCTGGACCTGACTACCCCTCACTGGAGTTCAGTTTTCTTCCAGACTCTCCCTGGGCAGGGGGACTTTGGTATCTAGAGCCTCTGTTACGGGGTCCTGGGGCGTGGAGGTAGATGATGAGAGGCAGGAGAAGAAGTTGGGCAGGGTCATGAGAACTCCACTCCCTGCAAGGAGGAAGGCCCCAGCCACCACAAAAGAAGCTGTGTAGTTGCCCGTCACATCCCGGAGGTAGCCTAGGCCCAAGAGAAAAAGAATACACATAGGTGATCTGTTCCCTGGAGTTAATGGCTAAGACATATGTTTAGGTGGAGATAAGAAAACAACTCTTAACTCACCCATCTTGGAAGAGTTGAATTTCACAGGTAGAATTGGATAGAGAAGTCTGTCTGTTTGTCTGTCTGTCTTATCTATCACAAGGGGCCTCAAAAAGTAATTTCAATCCCTTTCCTACTGTCGGGAGCTCTGGTGGCACAGGGCCTAAGGCATTTGACTGCTAACCAGAAGGCTGGTGGTTCAAAACCACCAGCCACTCCACAGAAGGAAAATTGGGCAATCTACTTCCGTAGAGATACTGCCTCGGAAACCCAAGGAGGGGTTGCTATGAGTCGGGTCCAACTGCATGGCAGTGTGTTGGGTAGGGTATACTGAAGGAGCTCTGGTGGCACAGTGCCTAAGGCATTTGACTGCTAACCAGAAGGCTGGTTGTTTAAACCTACCAGCCACTCCTCGGAAGGAAGATTGGGTAATCTACTTCCATAGTGATACTGCCTCGGAAACCCCAGGAGGGGTCGCTGTGAGTCAGATCTGACTCGACAGCAGTGGGTTAGGTTTTTTGGTTTGGTTTCCTGCTGTCAGAGGACCTCCAGACCAGCCAGTGAAGATCTGGGGACCCAGATGGAGTCAGCCACACCTGTGTCTGTCTTTCTGGTAACAATAGCCCTTCCACCTTCAGTTAATAGTTAAGAGGAAAATGTTAAGGATCTGAAGGTTCTGGCATCTTGAGCCTAGAGAACTTTGACCAGCTAGCCCAGACACCTGGACTAAGGCCCAATGGGCCAAGTGAAAGGGCACACTGACACGCTAAGTGTGGCCAGGTCAAGTTAGGTTCTCTAAAAATCCAAGCAGTAGGCACCCTACTAAGGGTTACTCTTAGCTTCCTGTGTCTTTTCACTCAATTTCCCAGCCCCAGGATTCTTTGCCCCATGGGTCCATTTCAGAGCTGTAATGAATGGCCATGCAGGTTGTACACTGTATAATACCAGGGGTGGTATTCATATATACTCTAATGTGAACAGTATCCCCTCCAATTTTGCAGCATGGTACCCTGGCCCACCAGGTAACCACATTCTCCTTACCTGACAGAGGAGCCCCCAGAAGCCCCCCGATGCTCTCTACCATCTGCACCAGTCCTAGGCCACAGTATATCCTTCCAGTTCCCACCAGTTCGGGCAGTATGGAGAAAGCCACTGGAGTCAGGGCTCCTGATGTGAAGCCGTAGCCCACAGCCAGAACCACCAGGGCTGTGGGCGCCTGAGCCGTGGGGAACAGGGCCAGTGATACCCCAGTCAGAGTGGTCCAGAACATCAGGGGTCGTGACACAGGCCCTGGGATTGCATCCCCCAGCCACCCGGAGGCCACACGCCCCACCAGATCAGAAATAGCAGCCACTGAGAGCAGGAAGGCAGCAGGCAGTGGGTCCCAATTCAGGTCCTGGAGATGGGCCACCAGGTGGACGTAGGGAATGAAGTAGCCAGTGTTGATCAGAGTGAGGGCAACAGTATAGCGGAGGAAGGGGCCGTGCTGGAGGAGGGAGATGAGTTGGGCCCTGGGGCCTCCCACAACAGGGTCCTCAGCCAGGGAGAGGGGGCGGAGGAGAGCACCACAGGCCAGCAGGTGGAGGGAGAGGGCAGATACCAGCAGGAGGGCCCCCCGCCAGGCATAGTGGCTGAGCAGCCACTGAAAGAGGGGGGCAAAGGCAAAGGAGGAGAGGCCCACGCCTGTCAGTGCTAGTCCTGTGGCCAGAGATCGACGGCGAGAGAAGTAACGGGACAGGCACGCCAGGGTTGGAGCGAAGGTCAAGGCCCAGCCAGAGCCTGCCAAAAAGGAAGAAATGAAGGTTGAGGGATTTAGGGGATTCCATGGCAGTGAGTTTGGTTTTTTAATACTTACCCTTGCTTCTTCCTAAACGTTTTGGCAGAAGCAGTCAGAATGTGAAAGTCTAGAGGCCAAAGATCCCAGACATTTAGTCACCTGCTCTTGCCCAGGGTCTCACCTGACAGCAGCCCAATACTCAGATACAGGTGAGTCAAGGAGGTAGCAAAGGAAGCTAGCAGCATCCCCAGGGCAGCCAAAATGCCCCCGGTCATCACCACCGGCCTGGGTCCGAACTTCGCGCTCAGGGCACTGCCTACTGGGCCTGGGAAAAAGGAAGGGGTACTGCGAGAAATCTCAGGCTTCCTTCCCCAGCATCCCCCCGTCCCCTTCCCGTCCTTGCATCCCCTCTCCCTTCCGAGGGACGCAGGACTCTGGACCCACGGGCAGCACTCACTTCCAAACTGCTGCACGGCAATTCCTATAGAGGCGATCCAGGAGACGCGCGCCGCCTGCTCCTCAAACGCCGCCACAAACTCCACGAAGAAGACGCCAAAGGAGCGGAGTACCCCGAACACCAGAGCCGACTGGAAGAACGCTGAGAGCACCACCATCCAACCCCAGCCCCCATCTGGGGGCTCAGCCCTGCGCACCATCTGGGCGGTAACAAAGCTGCCGCCTCTAAGATACCGGGCTCAGGACCCTCCACCTCTGCCCACCCACCCGGCCCGGCGGCTCAGGGCCGAGCGGGAAACCGGAGGCTGGCGGAGAGGAAGGCAGTAATGTGGGCGTGAAAGCTGCAGGGGAGCGGCGACAGGCGCCTGCGCCTTTCCCCAAGAGGGGCGCTACAGGAGAGGAGACCTGGTTAGAGCCTGCCCTGCTGCAAGCGCTGGGGGCGTGGCTTTGCTGGCAGGGACTGGAGAGCAGAGGCCTGGACCCAGCAGGTCGGGGCGGGGCCAAGTTTGGGTCTGAGAGCAGGGGGGCGGGACTTGGTTTGGGCCACACCCCTAGGGCACTCCAGTCTCCCTTCGGATTATCAGTTTTTTCGTTTGGATTGTCAGCACCTGCCTCATCCCAGCCAACATCCTGGTTTACAGTTTACCAATGAGATCGCGGGACCCCTGAGCAGGGGGTGGGGCCAGAGGGTAGGGCGGGGTTTGGGGGGGGTGCCTTGCGTTGGACAGGGTGAGTAGAGCGCATGCGTAAAGGGGGCATTAGAGGCCAATTAGATAAAGACCAACGTCACGCAGGGACCTACTAGGGGATGCTTCCGCTTCAGTCGTTTATCGTGCAGGCCAATTTGTCCAGATTTCGGTACCAAGACCGTCATGTAAACAGTCAGTGGGCGATGGGCGGGTGAGGGGACTGAGGTTCAGGACTGGAAAGTGTTCAGTTGCTTAATGAGGAGCCTAGGAGTTGCAAGTCGTTGAGGGGGGTTGTGTGTTAGGAAATGAGACTTAAACGACGTTCCAGGCAGAGCTCCTGAGGCCACTAACGCACCTCTTACAATCTAGACATCTAGATCCCTGAGTCGCTGAGGAGTTCAAAGGACAAGGGAAGAGTGAAGGGGAAGGGGCTGGAGGCCTCCTGGTGGGAATTCTGTTCCCTGCAACAGGAAACCTGCAGGTCACAGAGACCGAAAATAGCTGACAGGAAGGGCGATCAAGAGTTCATCGAGCCCTCCCTACACCACTGCCTTCCTCATTGGGGCTGGAACCTTTTCCTCTGCCCTCTAGTAACAGTAACTTCCTAACCACATTTTTTTTTTTTTTTAATTTCATGGTGAAAAAGGCTAGAGACAACCTATGGCCCTGGCCACTGAAGCAGTCTTCCTACTCTCCCAGTACCCAAAACCAACCAAAAAACGAAACTCACTGCTGTCCAGTTGATTTGACTCACAGGCAATGCCTCCTTGGGTGTCCGAGGTGATGTCACTACAAAAGTAGGTTGCCCAGTCTTCCAAGGAGTGGCTGGTGGGTTTGAACTACCAGCCTTCTGGTTAGCAGTCAAATGCCTTATGCACTACGCCACCAGAGCTCCCCTCAGTACCCAGGCCCCTAGCAAATGCATCCCAGTTCCTCTACTATATAGTAATAATGGGTGTGGGCTTCTTCATGGTAATTCATGCTCCTCAGGACCTGGAAGCCTTGGGCTCAAGGGTTCATATTCAGACCAGTGGTGAGAGAGGCACAACAGAAAGAAGAGAGGAGGGAAAGTATAAAGCTTTTTTTAAAAAGCAGCCTGAGCCTTAGCATTTTGTATATGAAAAATAAAAATAATCATACCCTATTTCTTTTTATATGTATTTTTTTTAAGTAGATCAAAATTTTGGCTAGTGGTTAATGTGCCAAAAATGCAGAAATAGGTATGGCCACATAATAAGAGTGGCTAAGACCTTATTTAGAGTCAATTCACACTTGGGTTTCCTTATGTTGTTGTTAGGGGGTAGCTGAATTAGAAACTCATGCACTAAAATGCTTAGTTTAGGGCCTGGCATAAAGCAGGGGATTAAATAATACTAGCTTTTATAAAACAAATTTTTTTTTTACATGTTCAACAGGGGATTAACTGTAGTAGGGGGTGAAGGAAGATAGGTTTTAGTAATTTCCCTTCTTTCTCCTTGCTTTTTTGGTTGTTTATAAATCGAAACTAGGCCATGGGTTTTCAGACACTGTGTTACCTGACTTATCTCATGGATAAGGAATTTAAGGTTGGGCAATCCTACTTCCGTAATGATACTGCCTCGGAAACCCAAGGAGGGGTCGCTATGAGTCGGGGGGCGACTCAAGGGCAAATAACAACAACAACAAGGAATTTAAACAAGGTAACCTGTCAGAATTAGTGAGCCTCTATCCTCTGCCAGGGGCTGGAACAGATCTGTGCACCTAGGACACACACCAAAACCAAAACCAAACCCCACTGCCACTGAGTTGATTGTGACTCACAGTGGCCCTACTGGACAGAGCAGAACTGCCCCATTGGGTTTCCAAGTCTGTAAAGAGCAGACTGCCTCATCTTTCTCCACAAAGCAGCTGGTAGGTTTGAACTGCTGACCTTCTGGTTAGTAGTCCAGTGCTTTAACCACTGTGCCGCCAGAGCGCCACAGGACACACACAGGATAGGGAAAGAGCGGGAGAGGAACATGCACTGGGCACTGGATAGATACCAATACACCATTGCTGGGAGGGTGGAGTTGGCATATTTTCTCTAAATATACAGCCATCTCACTGCCCCCTTCAGCTCCTGTTTTCCTCACAGGACCCAAGTCCTATCTAGTTCCCCAACTTCATCCTACTCCTTGTTGGTGGTGAGGACCCAAGCATTAAGATTCCCAGCACAGACTCATCCCCCAGCTTCTTGGTATTATTATTGGTGAGTTTCTGCTTTCTCCTTGAGCTGCCACACCTCAAGCAGGAAGTGACTTCAGAGAAGCAGGATGCAGGTGGCTCCGGAGAAACTTCATGAAGTCACAGGTCCCTATACAATGAGCCGGAAGGCAAGGGTGGGGAAGGGGAGAGCAAGGGCCATTTAAAATGCCTGATGAGATGGAATGGTAAAGTAGGCATAGAATCCAAGATAATATCCAGGAGGCAAGAAACCTCCCCCACAAGCCCCCAGCTTCCCCATAAGCAAGAACCCAGAACACACCAGACAACATTGAGAGGTTTCTTTATTCCAAGAATCTGATCTTGCACGATCTAACATCTTGACTGTGGTCCTTCATCCCCCAGGCATTCTCCACCTGCCCATCCAATCTACTAAGTAAAAACCATAGTTCCTTCTCACATCTCTTGGCTTTCCCTCCCTCCTTCTCCAATTCTGCAATGGGGAGATGAGGGAAAGAGGAAGAAGAGTAACTTTTTAACTAGTCCCTAAGTGACACTCACTGGTACTGACCTATCTTGAGGAAGCGCCACCCTGCAAATTAAAAAGTGCTCCTTACTGCCCCGCCCCCACAACCATGCCCCGTTATCGAATGAGCCCCAGAGCAACAAGGTACAGGACTGTAAATCAAGGAGTATCACCTAACATTCAAAATACTCTACCCAACCAAGAGGCAACCCCACTCCTAACTTCCTACCTACTTGGCTTACACCAGAAACTGCCCCCCTCAACCAACCTCTCAATCCTACTGTGATACCTATTAACCAGAAGGGGCCTTTGGCCTCTCAGTCAATCAATCATAAGAAACCTTTTAAATGTTTAATCCCATCAATAATAATCATAATCTCCAGCAATCCCAGAATGGAACTCAGCCCCTTTCTGCTCCCTGTGGAAGGTTCTAGCACATTCACTGGTTCCAGACAGGAATGCAGTGCCAGAAAGACTGGATCACAGACCCAGCTTTTCTAAGTTGAGGAAGTGACCATGCACTTGTGACTTCTAGAGGCAAAGGAGAAGTTTCTGCAATCTGTACATTTGCCAGATAATATTTAAAAAAAAAAAAAAATCTGTGCAAGGAAGAAGGGGCCCATCTCAGGCAGAGAAGAAGCCCAAGGAACATTCAAAATCCAGATGCCTCTTCTGTAAAGAATGCGTGTGTCTCAGATTTAGTCAAGGTAGAGTTTCGTAATTCTCCCCTAGGTCATAACATAACATTCTTAGAGGCTGGCAGAATCAGAAGTCACATCACTTCTGATCAAGAATTTCAGATTTCTCTCCCATGGAAGGATCAATCTGGTGCCAAGAACAGGCTCCCCCTGGGAGGATTATGGGCCCAACTCAAGCCCCTGGGTCAGGTCTATCATGACAGATCTTGTATCTAGAATCCTAGACTTATATCTAGAATGCCAGTGAAGCCAGACCCAGGTGACCAGACCAGTAGAATAGGTTCTTGATCACCCTTCAGGAAAGACTACCAATCTCCATAGGTACAGCCTCTAGGAGGCATTTACTACTTCCATTTCAGGCTCACCATAAATGTTCCTGTCACTCTTGAAGAACAGAGGAAAGTCTAGATGCAGTTCTAGCCTGCTAGAGAATTTACAATATCCAAAATACCAGAGAGGGTTCCTGACCCAATTCTCACAATCCCATGTCCCCAGCCCTGCCCTAGAGCAAATGAAAGGTTCCAGACCTAGAAATGGAGGGGCAGAACACAGGAACTCCTTTCTCCACTTTAAACAAATTAACAAGCACACAAAGAGAAACAACAATTCTAAAGGTAAAAGTTATGACAATAATAATACAAAACACTCAAGCCAAAGGAGAGAGCCAAATGCTAATCTCTGCCAGCAGAGCCGTGACCTCACGTTCTGTGCTTTGGGTCACTTTTGACCATATTTGTGGAAAGGGAGGTGGGAAATGCAATAGAATGAAGGCCTTGGTGCTTCCCAAAGGCCTCAATAAATTATATTTACACACAAACTGAATGAGATAGGGGTGTGGGTTGAGGACTGTTCCCCTAAGGCAACCAGGCCTACAGTCTCTCCCCTTCCCTAGCTTACTCTCTCCTCAGACAATTTTCCTTGTGGGGAAGAGGTTTTGACCAGCAAAACAGAAGCAGGTCTAGCCGGGACCTGCCACCCCAGCTCTTCCCAGTGAGAATCAAGGTGGTGGCAGTTTCTGATGCCATTAGGGCCTTGCACACTCCCATGCCCACGTGTGACCTGGAAGAAGCCAGGCCCAAGCCCACAGCATCCTGGCTCCCAGGAGA